TACTACCTTACACATTATACCTGTGATTTGTGGTAGAGTTAAGGATATATACTATCTTTTGCCTGAGATTTGAGTAAGAGTAAAGATTCTATGATACTTACAAATAATAACTGTGATTTGTGTTAGAGTAAAGATTATATGATACTTTCAAAGGATAACTGTGATTTGTGCAAGAGTAAAGTTTATATGATACTTACAAACGATAAGTGATTTGTGTAAGTGATACTTACAAATGATAACTGTGATTTGTGTAAGGGATACTTACAAATGATAACTGTGATTTGTGTAAGTAATACTTACAAATGATAACTGTGATTTGTGTAGGGAATACTTACAAATGATAACTGTGATACTTACAAATGATAACTGTGATTTGTGTAGGAAATACTTACAAATGATAACTGTGATTTGATTAAATTCAAGACTATATGCTACGTTACATAAAAGATTTGTGTTAAGGATATATACTACCTTGAATCCTGTACCTGCGATATATTTAGAAATAATTCTGTGTACATAGCCATCATTTACAAAAAATATGCATTATCCCAAACTGTCTAAAAAGAATTTCCATTCAGAATTTCAAACGCAATGTTATCAAGATGATAAATTCGCCCTCATCACAGAAAGCAAAAACTCTTGGGTGTAACCGCTGCAAACATTCCCTGGTGTAAATATTACAAAAAAGTTTGCTATGAGAATCAATTTGCATTGACAAAAAAAATCTACTTACACTTAGAAAATAGACCTCAATTAGAGTGAAGTATTTCCAGACAGGTACTCACTTAATAGACCCGTGTCTGGTGTATACGAAGTAGTGCTTGTTGGAGAAAGCATTTATTGTTCTTCATGGTTCACTCTTTCCCTGTAAAGTCATTAAACAACAGCGTAATTAACAGATTCTTTATGTAGGTCAATGTCAAGGGGCGGGAGGCACGAGTTGTCGTCTGCTTGTTGAACAAAATAAAGGTCATTGTAAAGAACATGTCGCCTGTCTGTTAAACACATCGAATGAAAGCTTCAACTCAACATCAATCTTTTCGCCGAAAATATCAATTAATATTCTTTTTGGAATAACGCACACAAAACCGGTAAGAAAATATAGCTCCAATTTATATATTGTATTCTTGTATGTACTCAAACCTGTCACTATTTCTTCTACAGAAACATTTTACAACCAACCCACGATAATTAGGTAGTCGAGAAGGACACATTCAAAGCAATTTGAAAAACAGCATTTCCTGAATATCAGTTGAATATATTTCAAAATGATATATGACCGGTCGGTGCATTGTAAAGTCGTATACTCAATTGGCCATTACCGTCCACCCCTCCTCCAAAATTAAACTGTTATCGGTACATCTTACAGCTTATTATCTACAAAATCAAGCTCCTGTGAGATTCTCATGTTTACCCTCAAGATTTTTTGTCTTCATTGATTTCTTTGTTAATTGTGTGTTGTTACAGAACAAAACAAATTGTTTCAATATTGAAATGATAGTAACAGAGGTGTTGAATACCTGTAATTAAATCACATGCCATTGTCATCTACTTGACACCAACTATCCGTAGTTCTTTATTGATCATAAACGATTCCTTGGTATTTTCAGATGATAGAAATGTAACTTCCTTAAAGACAGAGTGATTAACTCGATAATATGACTTAATATATTTGATTCCCGTCCTCGATGTCATTTAGACACACAGGGCAAGTTCGAAGCTGACGTGGAACATTTCTGTGTCTGCCCGTTTCTGCAAGAAGACAACATAATCTAACAATGGCATTTCATTATTACCAGGAATTGGTGTCGGAAGATAAGTTTGCAATGCTAAGTGATCAAGAACATGCCTGTATAAATCACACTTTGGCGACGAAACAGAACAAATTCTCACACTCAAATATCCCCCAGCATACACCCAATACATGTATAAGATACCAAGAGTATGCTAGGTGAAACGAGTATCGGAAGACCTCGGTACAGTGAAGGGGGAGGGACACCTGTATAATTAGTACAGGTATTGCCTCCTCACCTGTACACAGCTACATCATCATGAGAAAGTGTGTACTGATCGACACCTTCTGTCATATTGACCCTGGTAGTGTACGAACAGTTAATCCATATTCCTGTTTCCTTTACAATGGTTAGATTGAGGCCACAGGTCCATTCACACGTACTTATGTTAGTATATGTCGGTAAACATCAGTAGACTTTTACAATCATAGCCAATATTATTTACATAATCTATACTAGATTTGTTTGTCCAAAGTGAAAAAAATTCAATATAAATCTAAAAAGAACACTTTATATAAGAAACGACACGAGAAGTGAACGCGAGAAAATAAAATATTCAATTTTTTGTAACATTGAAGTCAATGAACAAATGAATTAATTCAGCGAATAGAAAATTTACCACATGATGGGTTGGTGGATTAAGCAACTGCACAAAATAAGATGCTTAACTTATTTACATTATGCTTGGTGCGTGGGATTCTAATATGCAGGAAAACAAATAGGATTTATAAACAGGAGTAACATTTTGAACAAGCTGTTGTCTCTGTCTGTCTCTATCACTCAACGTTAAGCATGATTTTAATCTTGATGTTTAACTCCTTTCTAAGTAACTCAGACCTGTTTTTATCATTTTGTCTGAAGTATTGCATATGTCGTCTGACTTTTTGATGCATGCTATTGTATGTAGTTTATCAATAGAACAAAAGATCTATCAGTAGCAAAAACAACTCGTAAACAAATATTTACAACAAACTATGTTTAAAGTCAAAGACAATTATATTTCAGCATATGCATATAAACATACAAAAATACAAAAAAAAAGAAGACATTTCAACAGAATGTCAGAGAGCACACTACTGTAGCTATATACGATAACTATTTTGTTTACGTGTATATCAAACGGTGACCGAATATCAGGCCTCGCCGAAACACACAATAGCCTTACTAAACAAATATTGTACACACGATAAACCACCTCACCAAATAAATTACATACTTAGCAAGATGTTGGTAACATTCAACAATGGACACATATTCAAAATCTATATAGCGATTTCAAAAATCGTATCCGTGAAAAATCTTTGATGTTATCAAATATTCCGTCTTTTAAATCGGCCATTGGTTTTGTATTTACATTCTATACAATTGTGTCGGAGGGATATTATTTCAGCTTCGTTGCTCTTGTGTAATGTGATCCAGTTTGAAGCCCCCACTTTATAACCAGATCGTCGTGGTTAACTGACAGCAGACACATGTTATATCGTCTGGCCGATGGTTTACTAACATGAACACACGGATAAACGAAGCTACACTTATTGTGATGCGTTAGGGAGAGATACCGTTATAGGAGTCCATAGGACAGTATTGTGTCTCTCGCTTGGAAAAGTTGTACATGTAAAGTGTTTAATTAATCACTAGCTTGTTAAATAAGAAAATAAAGAGTTCGATTAAATTCAATTCAATCTGTTAAAGAATACAGAAATGGTTTCAATGCATTTTTGGAAACGTATCTCCTAAATTGTGGTACATTTTCTTCATATATTGCACACAAATAAATAAAAATAATAATAATGAGTGATACTTATGAAGTTAAACTGCGGGGTTATACTGTAATTCAAATGTTAACTCCAAACCATCCTCAACGGGACGCCACATGTTGCTAAGGACACGCATTCTTCAATCTGTTGTGGGGGTTCAGAGTAATTTTCTTTTAGATTCGATATCTTCTCAGATTTTGTTGTTGTCTGTCCTTTTGTTTCGGTATCTTCTCAGTTTCTGTTTTTTACTTTTGGCTTCTCAGTTCTTGTTGTTGTCTTTCCTTTTGTTTCAGTATCTTCTCAGTTCCTGTTGTTGTCTTTCCTTTTGTTTCGATATCTTAACAGTTCTTGCTGTTGTTTTTCCTTCTGTTTCGGTATCTTCTCCATTTCTGTTTTTACTTTTGGTTTGTTGTCTCCTCATTTGCTGTTGTTTACTTATTTTATTTTCCTTGTTGACTGTGCATCTATTTCGGTATCTTCTCAGTTCCTGTTATTGTCTTTATTTAGGTCCGGTGTCTGCTCAGCTCCTGTTGGTATATTTCCTTTAAGTTTAGATCATGTAAACCTATTCTATTATTTTATCATTGGCGTGTAAGTCTCAAAGCATAACGATAATTATCAGTAGGACCTTGGTATTGTGAATAGTATCGTGTGGGCCTGTTTCTGATGTTATCGCTCTATCTCAGTAAGGTGTCGGTACCACAATATCCTGTCGTGTATCTATTCACCTCTTCATGTTTGCCGATAAGCTAATGGACGCGTAGGTCAAAGTGAATGGCACCCATTGTCAGCGAAACAATAGTAACATTAACAGTTAAGTATTGAACACTTTTCTCTAAGCGTCTAAATTTAAACGGCAGTAAACTGTTATGTTTCCAACATCTATGTCAGGCGATTATATGCTCAACTTAATACCGACTTTTAATGTAGAATCTGTACTTTCCACGGGGCAAACCAGTGATAAATCATCTCAACCATCTATACACACCGTAAACTAATCAATCCTGTAAAATAATTGCAAAATGTTTTAAGGATATCAGCAATTCGTATAATTGTTAACTCAATTTTTTAACTCTATGTTTCAAATTCAACCTTTACTTAAAGACCATCCGCAATCTATTATCGGATTTCTAACGGTGCATTTTCGTAGGAATAACGTGGAGACATACTTTTAATCCGTGAATCACATAGAGAAAGTACGAATGGAGCAAAACACACTGCTCCACAATGATATATACATATGGAAGTATAAAATGATAGCTAAACTTTCTTAATGTTTCATAGACATTCAAAACAAAAACATCGAAAGCTATCGGGAGATTTCGGCAAAGACTCAAAGTCTTTTCGTCGTTGTCAACATATTTTGTTTGCACTGTATGCTTGCTTCCCTCAAAGAGTTAGGGCCATGTATTACTATTTGTAATAAACCATTTTCATCAATCATTTTTAGGCAGCAAGAAGCACCCTCTTAGTCCCTATACGCACAACAGAGATCCAACATACCTGCAGGAAATACACGCCGAAGTAGGTCGGAGTCAAATAGAGAAATTTGCTGCAGGTCATCGGTCACCAAACTGGGCAATAAACACAAGTAGGGAGTCGAACCATAGCGGGGAATCCCCCTTGTTCGTCCACGGGCTCCTCAGCTCAAGTAAGGTAAGTACATTAATTCTTTGTGTCACTATGAAGGGGTTGATTAACAAGTTATGAATCTAAAAGGGGACAAATCGACAAAATTGATTTAAACTTCATGCTTTTCTACCCTAAAATGACATTCTAAGCTAAAGTTTAGGGGTTTGTACTATTATCTGTACACCAACACCAGTATTATTTTACGATTCCATTATCTCGGATATACATATATAAATTGGATTTTATTTCCAACCAATATTATAATGGACCGTACTGCAAATTAAAGCAAGGAGTTAATGCTGCATTTGTTTAGTTAAATAATTTTCTAATGCTGAGCTGTATATATGTAAAATGATAGGTACTTTATGCTCCATTTTCTTACTGGATAGTTGCTGAAGAATTGTTTGAGCACTGTCAATCTAAGTATTCAGAATATGACTACTTTTTCTACGTTGAAAGGAATATATTTATTTTGCACACATAGTGGTCAAAGTACATTGTAGCCTGTATACCATATACATTTTTGTTCCTAATTGTCATGTAGAAAGATGGTAATAGTCAGATCCACCGAATGTCTCGGATGCTCAATTATTGTGTGCATGGGACACGTGTAATTGCCAGATCGACCCCAGTGTCTCGAACATACAAACACTGTACCAGAAGGAGACCCACCTACAAATCAAACGTAATGGAAGGCGGTGTAATAAAGGTTAACGGAAATCAATTGGAAAATCTATTAATTCAACATTCATATTCTACAGCTGAAGTTTGTTCTCGTGTCAACGACGATACAGTATAAACACTTGTTCTAAAAGAAGATTTTAATGACGTAAACTGTTTACATATATGTACTATTAGATGATCCGTTCTAGTTATCAATGTTAAATAACGACTCCAATTATAAGGAAACCTTATTCAAAAACACGATCTTAAACATCTAAGTAAAACGTTAATTTGCAATATTTAAAAAAAATTATTTGCTAGAAAAGTATATATAAACACTCCAGACAGCATATGTATGAGATATTTGTTCAGTTAACATAGCATACTGGTTATCATATTTTGGAAGTTGGTGACATCACCAAGGTGATGTACTTTAAAGCCACGATACAGCCAGTTATATACTCAAGCGTATTATTATAATTCCAAATCGCATACGCATTCAGTATTTGAAATATGCGATATTAGTTTATAGTGAAAACTTAATTAGATACGGTCACACTGATAACGTCAAAACATAATTATTACTATTGATTCAAATATTTTCTTTTAATGTTTCCTTCCAAAGAACAAACATTATATTTTGAGATACTCAGAGACAAACTAGGGTCATATTATTAGTTGCATATCTCCTTGATTTTATGTTACATAGACTTATACTTTAGCGTTGACAAGCCACCTTGTGGTGCCTTTCTCTTATGGTAGTGTATGGGTTCGGTATGTTCTATTCTTATAATCTTCCTGATGTCTGTGTGGGGCCTCTTCATTTTGGCCTGTGTGGTGCCTCTCTCATATGGTCGTGTATGGATTTGGTATGTTTTATTCTTATAATCTTCCTGATGCCTGTGTAGTGCCCCGTCATTTTGGCCTGTGTGGTGCCTCTCTCTTAAGGTACTGTATGAGCTTGGTATGTTTTATTCTTAACATTTTCCTGATGCCTGTGTGGTGTTTCGTCATTTTGGCCTGTTTGGTGCCTCTCGCGTATGGTAGTGTATGAGTTTGGTATGTTTTATTCTTATCATTTTCCTGATGCCTGTGTGGTGTTTCGTCATTTTGGCCTGTGTGGTGCCTCTCTCGTATGGTAGTGTATGAGTTTTGTATGATTTATTCTTATCATGTTGTTTATGTCTGTGTGTTGGCTCGCTCTCTTATGGTATTGCATGAGGTTTGGCATGTTTAAATCTTCAAATCTTCCTGATGCCTGTGTGGTGCCTTTCTCTTAAGGTACTGTATGAGTTTGGTATGTTTTATTCTTATAATATTGTTGATGCCTGTGTGGTGCCCCGTCATTTTGGCATGTGTTGTGCCTCTCTTTTAAGGTAGTGTATGAGCTTTGTATGTTTTATTCTTGAAATCTTCCTGTTACCTGTGCGGTGCCCCTCTCTTATGGTAGTTCATGAGTTTGGTATGTTTTATTCTTATAATGTTAATATTATATGAGTTTTGGCATGTTTAATTCTTCTAATCTTCCTGATGCCTGTGTGGTGCCCGTCATTTTGGCCTGTGTGGTTCCCCTCTCGTATGATAGTGTATGCGTTTGGTTTGTTTTATTCTTTCATTCGTCCTGTATTTCATCGACTACACCTGCTACAAGTCTTATTCTCATTTCATTTGTACGTATTTTCCTATCCTCATCAATTTCAAGTTCGAATGGCGGTTTACCCTATGATCCCTTTAAAACTTTTATCTAGATAATCAAAGTGGGAACAATGTATAGGTAGTGTTGTCTTGGTTCTCAAGCACGCCTAGTTCTTTTGTGTTCGTTGTCAAAGATCAAGTTATTTCTGGATTTTTCTGTCGACACAACTACAATCTTATGGCGCAAATCGTTTATTGTAGTTTTGACACTGGGATAAGTACATCTGGACGTGTGTTTGGTTTTTACTTAAGATTTCAAGCTGCCAATTTATCTTAGAATAAGGAACCCGATAGTGTTAACCAACTCTGAAAAAGAGTCAAATTCAGTATGTTTTTGTTTCGCCCATTGTCTGACATAGTGTTCCACGAATTTCATTTGTATCGTACAAATTAACATCCCAATAGTCAGAGCCTCTCTCTTTTTCAGACCAATTAGGCAAAGGTCTTGCAACGTTACATTTTGGATTATATATAAAAGTAACTGCACACCTAGCTCTATTGTTTTATAATAATGTAGAACAAGAACAAACTAAAAGGAGGAGTTGTAATAAGACATCTGAATCCGACTGTTGCAGTGTTTGGTTGAAATTGAAAAGTTTGGTAAGAATGGGTTTAGAACATAAAAAAAAGAGATATTTCATACCAATCAATATTTTTTGTCCCGGATGGAAGCGTGCAGAGAGTCTTAATGTGAGGGGAATACACTCTCATGGTCTGGCAAGTGAACGGATTTAGAATAGCTGTAAAAAGGATTGGGGTATTTTTGTGATGAAGTACGATAGTATGTTAGCTTCGACTGACTTATGGTGTAGTATATTACTGACGTTAAAGCTATCTACGTGTTTGTTACCCAGTGTTGGCAGATGATTTGACAACATTTTTCACTCATAGGTTAATCTGTATGACTGCGTTGTCAAGTAAGAATACAAACGATGAAGCCTGGTTAAAGACGGATATTTTTGTAACCTGGTGTTCTATATCTGAGCTTGGCATGTCCTGTATGTCAAGCTTACATTGTCATGTATGTGTAGTGTACTGATGTCTTTAGGGCTAATGTACACATTTATTATAGGTATAAAGTATTCATGGAGACCATACCAACAAATAAAAGAAGTGAATAAGTTACGCGGCACCTCAAGTATTTATTTCCACCTGGTGACGGATTTGACGCAGTGCATGCAACCCTGCAATGTAATGTCAGTGAACTCTGATTAAACTGTACGTCACCGTAAATCACACCGTCACTAGCTGTTCTGCCAGTTCGTTAGATTAGAAATGGAGTAGGGGATAGACGTTTGTTCATTTATTGATTCGACTAGAGGGTTTTTATGTAATCAGCTTAGAGTCAAATAACTCATATATGACTCTGTGCTATTAGGTAATTTGCTTAACTGTTAAAACAGCTGACTGTTAATTTTAAATACATTTTTAATTGCCTACTATCGATTTGTAAGCCTCATGTTTTTACTCTACATGAACATAAACAAGCCAGATAAACATGATAACCAAGAACTACTCGTTGGGAAACCTATATGTCCATTGCAGCCTCCCATTGAGGTGAACGTCCGAGGAAACATCATTTCTCATTACACTGCTTCCATTACTAAGCCATGTACTACTGCGTAATTTAATCTTGTCCTTTATATATGTAAAGCACGTACCCACATACAATACTCCAGTAATAAATCGGCTGTAATTATTTGTAGTATGACAAGGAAGGACAGCATCTACAAGAGCCTCGACCCCGATCTTCCGTTAGAGGGCGCTCGGCCCCACCAAAGAGAAGTGGAACTCTCTATTACCGGCCTAATACTACGCACCAGTACCTCTCAGCAACTGAACTTCACCAAACCTCGCAATCTTCCGATGCGACAAGCATCAAATATGGCCGCCCAACTCGTACAACGTATGTATTGACTCAGAAAGACTTAACCCAATGAAACATGTCATAGATGTTACAACCTCCATTTTGAAAACTAAATTTATACTTCAAAGGTTCATTGATTAAAAAAGATAGTTAGGAGTAACAAGTCAGGTATATTTCTAAACATTTTCTTCTGGTTGGTAAGTATGGATTATGAGAAGTTCTTTTTACACAGCCAATGACATTTTCTATGTGACGTTTCGATGACTAGTACGATATGTACACTATCACCTTCATCAGACATATGTCCAATGAAGCGTATGCACACAAAGGTGTTAAATGTGTACGAGTTGTCCATAAAATCGATGTCAATTTCGGCTACGCTGGAAACGTATGTACCATAGTTGTTATATATGTACAGAAATGACTCAATTCAGCTACGCTTTATCGTACTAGTCATCGAAACGTCACATAGACAATTTTATTGGTTGTGTAAAAAGAACTTCTCATAAGTCAGGTATATTTATATAGTGTATACTGTAATGTAGACAGTGCTAGAAATCACGAACTAAAAGAAATTGTTTTTTTTTCTCTCCGATAATCCAATTCAAATAACCTGAACCGTAAAGGAAATAAACGGAAGCAATTATATTGATAAACATACATATATAATTTGAATTTATTTTGCCATGTTTGTATTCTTGTGTACTTTATAAAGGCTACTACGAGCTAGACAAAGGAGCAATTCAGCACCTGTAAATGCATACATGCAACGACGAGAAAGTGCCAAAAGTAAGATTTCTTAATAGCAAAATATTCAACTTGTACCTAAAACGCTTAATAGTCCAGCATCTTTCAAACGTACAGGTGATTTGTCTTAATACAAGGGACATAACTCTTTCGTAAAATGGTGAATGCAGCAGCAGCAAATAGCAAATGTATGGTTATCAGTTTAATGATGGTCGTTTTTGAACAATTGCATTAAATTAGCATGTACATTTTTAATTATTATGCTGTACATTAAAATGTTTTGAAGACCTGTCATCTACCACATGCAAGCAACCCGCATTTTAATTTTAAGAATGTCGATCCTCGATGTTTACGTTTGCAAACGTTAGACAACAGATGATTGTATTTTGTAAAAGGGGCCTATACAATACTGTTACTCTAACGTTTTTCAGTAACATTTGAATTGATGTGCTCCATAGCTACTACCTTTGCCTTTTGTTTTGTTTGTAGAGATGGAAAGTACTCAGTATTCAGCTATGCCAACTCCAAGAGAGTAAGTATTTATCACTTTATCAAATTTCCTTCTTTCTTTTAAATGTGTTCGTAAACAGAAACAGATCTTTTGTTATTTTATATAATAGAAAGACTGATAAAAACGGAAGAGGAACTGATTAGTCATTGTAGTATTTATTTATTATCGACATGTTCATAAAACAAATGTTTACATTATGACGGTTTGTCAATATCAATCAGACACTTATCGTTTGCATGTAGTCTATTTTAAATAATTACTTTCTCAGTTTTTGAGGTAGTCTGCCAAATCTTACCTTATACTATTTTTCGTCGCAGAAAAAAACCCCAAATGCTTGAAGTCAAAGGAAATTCATTTGAAAAATATTCTCTATCTAGTTAAGATAAACAAATATATCCTAAATCTCGTTAAAATGGGCCTAACTGGTTAACCGAAACTGTTCTGGATCAAGCGAGTAAGATATTTCGTACTATGTAAAATATCTCCTGTCTAGTAGAAACACGCAGGAAATATACTGTTGTTAAGTAAAAAAAGGTCGTGAACTTAATAACGTCGGATAGAATTGCCATTGTAAAGGTTTGCTATTAGTTTCTGGTGAACGAATGTTATCAAATAGGATTAACATGGAACACTGCGGCAGGCTGAACAAATTGAAGTAAGAGTTGGTGGAACTTTCAAAGCAACTCAAAAACTGATAATTAAGATAGACGGATTGTAATTATATAGACAGGACTATACACTGTTTGGTGTTTTCATTGAAACAAATCTATTTTATTGTAACAGTTTAATCTTCAGCAGTGGTAAGCTTTTATATTAAGGCGATATACTGTACTTCACTATCGAAATATTGTTTCACCAGCCTCACGTGCATATATAAGCCTGCATGGTCGATGACGGAAATGTTCATATCTTGTATAACTATGTAGCATGCACTGTCATTGTATATCTGAACGTCTCAAAGTCTTATGATGTATTGAGCATGTATAATATATGTTCTTAATTGTCTTTAATGCCATAATTGCCCACAAAAGAGATCGATCGATTTTGCCCAACAATACTTCAAATGTTTAAATATAAACATTTGATACCATATATAATTCATGGTACATTTGTTATTGAAAGTAATTTATTTATGAAAATAATAATATATTGATGAATTTTAATTATAACATCAACTATACATATATTTTTGTTTAGTAATGACCAATTAAAATTTTAAACAGTGGAGTTCTTAAAATGATCGCCATACGTACATGTATGTGTGTGCAATTAATTCACACTTGAACACAGATTTTGGGCAGTTTTGTCGATTAGTAAATAGTCAGATGTATACAAACATGCATGTGCTAATTATATGAAATGCAAATGTCGTGATACGATGTCTGTCATGTGTTTTTGCCGAAATATCACCATATATAATCAGAACTTCTTAATATTGACATACTTGATAAGTATGTTGTTATCTTTAGATGTGATTATCTCCCTTCATATGGTTTCTTACCACGCATTTGTACCTTCCTTCTGTGTGGTAATTCTCAATGAGGCATAATGCCATTATAATTATGGTTTAGGGCAATATAAGGATCTCCATTACCTGTAGGAATTTAAATAACAATGACGACTTCATTGCTTTACATGCTTTAAACGTCTAAATTGTTCTTCCACAAAATGCTAGTGGTTCTGTTATTATTATGTATGTGTTTAATTAATTTTGTAATATGTTGATGAACATTTGAACAATAACGGTGGTATAAAGATATATCAATCACTTGGTTTCCAGTGATGATTATTCCTCAGATGAGGATAATGATTACATGAGTATAATCTATCTCATCGCCGACAGGTGAGAACAAGCAACGATGCCATAAACATTCTTTTATTTTCTTCATTTATTCTATTTATATACAATATCCATACATCGGGATTTTATCAGATACATAATTTTGAGATAAACGAAATAAATTTACACACATTGGCTTTTCTTGCAATTAAAGCTTTACTTCTTTACAAGACGTTGATTTGGTTGACAGAAATTCATACTCATATATTTTATAAGCTCATCAAAAACATCAGTATTTTAACTATACCGTACATAAAATTAAACCCGATCAATGGATTACAATGTATACCCTAAGATATGGTTTTTGACGTAGACAGGAATGGTTTTCTTACAGATACGTGCTATTTTTTATACACTTTTATTATGTTTCACTTTCACATGCAGGTGTTGTTAGCTTTTGGATCTGGTTATTTTTAAATTTTGAGTATCAAACCGTGCACCGATCCATCTACATTATTGACTATTTGTTTTCATTAATCTTTATGTATGGTTTATGGTTGGTATACGCTTTGGTACTCCTGTATCATACATATATATAAAGGATACGAAGTACATTATATGTAACCCGACTTAATCATCTTAGATATATGTTTATCGTAACTTTAATGTTTACACATAAAATTTGTTTTATTTATGCTGTAGATAATTATTAAGTAGTGGCGCAGGCAGTGTAGTATTTATTTTTAGGTACCATTTACAATCGAGAATTCCTGCATTCCACGCGTTTAAGTAGCTACTATTTCAGTTGCAGTTTATTATACTTCTCAGCGGCATTCATTTTGTTTATATTTTTACATTACTTGAAACCAGTATGTTTGCCATTCTGAGTTCAGGGGAAGCTACTCTTACATATATACTCGAAATCTGTGCAACTATTATGAAAGACTAGTTTCAATCTTTCTTTACAGAAGTATTTCGAACAGATCTCAGCATGCGTTACTTTTAACAGAATACAAATAAATACCAATTTTATATTAAGATAGGAGTGGAAGGTAGGACCGTAATCCAACGATTTCTGTCCTTTATCAATGTCGCTATCTATGAGTTATAAATATGCACACCATCATATTTAAATCAACTAGAACTCTGAGGCAGAAGTTACTCTTTCTTGCTAGCTTAAACATCCACATATATAAAAGGGTTCTGATAGTTCAGATATGGACCTCTTCTGGATTAAAACTGGTGTTGTGGTAGCCGTTACTTTAACGTGTCTTTAAAGACCTATCTGTAATACCCAATTGGGATGTTCTATTAAAACAATGTATTTTTGGAACAACTCTCTCACGAAGGTACAAAGAGAATAGATTAATTTACTGCATATGAAGTTATATCATCCTCATTAATACTTCAGAAATTATGATATAACACACATTCTATAACAAGATCAGTAGCACTTGTAAAACTATGATATAACTTCCGTCAACAGGTATATACCTGCTCGAAAGAAGGAGGAGTCGACACATGCTTTTCTGACCGGAGCTCGTTATAACAGGTATGTATAATGTTACATCGCCACAGACACACGCGTTTCTGACCGGAACTTGTTATAACAGGTATGTATAATGTTACATCGCCACAGACACACGCGTTTCTGACCGGAACTCGTTATAACAGGTATGTATAATGTTACATCGACACAGACAAATGCCTAATGTATGCAAATTATACATGGGAGATGTTAATGCAACCCCTAATTCATTTCATACAAATTATACACTTTTACAAAACCAATGGTTTTTTGTTTGTTTGTTTTTTTTTTTTTTTTTTTTTTTTTTTTTTTTTTTTTATTCCTTACTAATTGCAATTTATCGATATTATGTACGTGTATATGATACTAAATATCCATTTGTGATTTATGTTAGAGTAATCAAACCTTTTTTCCTGTTCTTATTCTATGATGGATAGTTACCTGAAAGTTGGCAAGTTTAGTTGCTCGTTACCGTGTACCTCACACGACTTTCAGTCAATACTAAACGAGTACAAACACCATACATTGTAATTAAGTTATTGTTAATTTTACCAACTGTATGTCGTTAACAGGAAATTCATATATCAGTTTATTCACGTCGGTAATAAAAAAGCTGTAAATTCGAGAATAACAGTGTAACATTTGGCAATTATGCACTCAAATTCATGTATTATTTTATTTTTAAACCATGCACGTGCAATGCTCTTCAAAATGCTTTCCCGGTATTATAACTGTATAGACAGGTGAGCCGGTGTGAGCTGTTTTAGCCAAACTAGAGCTTTGTCGCGTGAGAGTTCAGACATCTTAACGTTTCCTCATTAATTCTTGTTAATATAAACTTCATTTATTTTACAACAGTTATGAAACAAGTTATTTCAACTTATATATATAACCTTTGTTGGCCCGGATATTAGCGCGAGGTGGGTTTTTATGCTGGAGGAAACCGGAGTACCCGGAGAAAACCCACATGGTCGGGCAGTATATTTGTTAAACTAATGTAACATGGCCATGGGCACAATGTCAAGAAATTGTAGGATCAACTGTGACTCGATTTATTTGGTGAAATTTCATTTTCATGTGGAAGAGTAGATAATATCGACACTGTTTGTACATTTTGGTGAAATTTATAACTCTCGTTTCACAGATTTTGTGAAATTAATTGAAACAGTCAGAAGCGGCCTAAGTTAATCAACACACATAATCTGAGCAGTGGTAAAGTAACATATGCTGTGGTAGGATTGCACATGTGTGTAATTCTCCTCTAATACTATAAGGGCTAAATAATGTCACCACTTGTCTAGACATCGACTGATGAAAACATATATCACTTTGTGTTATACGCCTGATAGTCTAACAGTGTATATCGGTTCATTTCTGTAGCAGTAAATGGTTACCTTGTTTAGATAGGGAGAACTAATAATTTACTGTTTCGGTTTTAACGTTTACTAACGTCCTTTATAAGCTATTTTTAATATAATTGATGTAACTTACTTGTTTATTTACAACACAATGTGTCTTTATTGCTTTATTGACAATTCTATGGAACTGTGCTAATTTTCAATGACAAGTAACTTCTTAAGTTTACAATATCAAATAACGTTTTCATTTAAATACTATGTAACCTTGGAATTTTCTACGATTTGTTACTTTGTTTATTGACAAAGGGATGATTGCGTTATTAACAATCAATAATTATTAACTTTTATATGCATTACAGGGCACACCTGTTAGACTCTAAGGGTCTTTCCGTGTACGGTGTGTACATGCCGAGGAAGAATCCAATGGCCTGCTTTATGACGGGGGCTGCTTCATCACGTCTGAAGGAGACAGTTGAGGAGGTCCCGGCACCCCCAGGTCAGTTACATCATCAACTGCGGGAAGATCATTACTGAAAAATGTGTTATTCTCGATGCGATGACGTGAATTTACTAAAATCGACTAAGCTTCACCTGGCTGGTGTATCGATGATCCCGAAAACGTTTACTCTTCCGGAACACATGGTCGTGTTCCTCTTGTACTTTTTAAGAGTCTCCATGTAAATCTTGCATCACTCAAAATAATAAACAAATTAAGATAATCTTACAAAAACTAATAAACAATTATTAAATTAAAAAAAACCTAAAACATTTTACTTCCGGTTGATGTAAGAAAGCTGCAACGTCTGTGTTCTGACCACGTGCGGGTAGCTCCGTTTATTAAAAGCTTATGTCTAGGCGCTCATATATATGTACCACCGTGGGGCGATGTACAATCTGAAGCGGTACGCCGTCTCTAAACTGTTCAAAGCTTAAACGGAGGATATAAAGTAGGATAGAACTGTATTACCACTATAAACTTTATAATACGACCCATAAAATAGGTCCTCCAGCTCATTCGGCGTCAAACCCTACAAGGTTAGCGTGGGTAAAGGAGGGAGGCCAATGGTGCTATATGGACCTATGAGTTAGGTAGGAATAACGGAATAAACGAATAATGAACTAATAATCAATATCTGTTTATCTAACACAGCGAATAGTGTAATAGCAACAATATCCAAACAATCAAAATAATAAACAAATTGAGTTTATCTTACAAAAACCAATAAACATTTATTAAATTCACAAAAACCTAAAACATTTCACTTCCGGTTGATGTGAGAAAGCTTCAACGTATGTGTTCTGACCACGTGCGGGTAGTTCCGTTTATCAAAAGGACGAGTCTGCCACCCCACAGCAACCTTATGTCTAATACATGATTAAATACACGTAAACGTTAACACAACAACCACTAAAATATCCTCACACAACCAACCAACCAACCCCTCCCCCCTCCCACAAACCATCCCTAAACACCACTCCGGTCCAGACTACCAGCATTTAATAAAACCCATAAATCCTTTTGCACATCTCTTGACACCCAGCACATCTTTCAACCTCCATCCCCTCCAGCTCCCACCAGGTTATAATTATATAACCCAACTATAACACTAATCAACCCGCACCTCCACACACCCTCCCCGTTTTTCCTCTTTACCCATACTAATAATCACACTATTCACTAAAAAAACATAAGAGTCGGAACGATGAGCAGAAATAAGTGAAAGACAAGTCGAGGTTTATAAGAAAGATGACATTGGTACAAGTATAGTCCTGTTTATTCTCAGTGACGAATGATGAGGAGAGGAGTACATGGAACGGACAACAAAAAAACAGCACATGCATAACACTAACCACTAATATACAGTCCGTCATATGGGACTATAAATGGTGACCCGTGTGAGAACTGTCCTATCTCGCACGGAAAAAACACCTCTGGGTTTTTCGAAAAAGAGTAGGCGCGTAAACGCCGACACAGAGGTGTTTTTGGTCATTAGAACTAGGGTCTTTTTATTAAGACATTTAGATTGACTTCCAAATTATATATGCAAGCCAAATTCACAGAATAGGCAGAGGCTGGTGTGGCTGAAGGCGGCACAGTACCTCACTTCCGATCCTGACTTGGTGATGCTGAACGATGAGTGTTAGGTTAAGGCATTATTAGGCATAGAAGCCGTCTTACAAAAACTAGACATATTCAATTAATATATATAGGATAGACGGCCCCTTCTCTAATCTATCCCCCTCCTCTACTCTTTTACTCCATACTTTATCCCTTCTACTCATTTTCCTTTCTTTTCTTCGTCTGCTGGATAACCAAAATACTCGGTAGTGAAGCGGACGTAAAACCTTTCAATCAATCAATCAATCAATCAATCTTGCATTTGCTCATGTTTTGTCCAAGTTGTATCGATTTTGTGCTCGAATTGGGGTTCTGTTGGCATTGAGGTATTCTTTTTTTGTTTGATGTATTACTGTTATAATTTTCTTGGTTGTTTGTTTTTGATATTTTAAGGAAATATCATATACAGATCAAGATATCGCAATAAGTTGACATATTTACTTGGTTATTTGAAAAACGATTGTCACTAATGTTCAAAGCTCAGTTTAAATTGTTTTAAATCGATTCCTCTTTATGTAGACTGTCTTAACGATGTAAGGGGCATAACCATGTCACTCCTCTGCTGTACAGTATAAGGCTTATTGATAGACAAGTTAGAGTTATGAAAACCATCTTAAATCAGAGGCTTGACTGATAGATTTAAGAAATTGTCATGAGTAATTGATGAATAATTGTTTTTCATTTTCTCCTACTTTTTCTGTTGTTAATAACTTCACAAATCTGATCATAACGGAGATTTGAAAATTTTCATTACACAAAACTATTTGAAATGACTGACAGTTTCCGTCATCGAAATATAGATTATAAGCTCATCCGTAGATATTACCTACGATCAGTTACTAACTTTATGAATTGATTTTTTTAAATAGATACACCACGATCCGAGGTTTCTGATACCCACGACCATACAAGTAAACCGGAATACAACGCAAGACCCTCAACAGCTCCAGGCAAAAGGTTACTATCAGGAAAAATGGTGACGCCTAGGGATCGCCCTAAAAGCGCGTGGGGTGACGCAGCAACCTCGTGCGATATCATACAGAACGAAAGTGAGAACTTGACCAATGACGAGACGTCTTACAAACAACACATTTTAGACGATTTAATACTTACACCTAACGGTTTGAATGTTCAAGGTGACTATGGTGGTTGTGGTAACGGTAGCTAGTACTCCCAACCTCTACTATTTTCTATTACCGCTTTTTATTTTGGCTGTCGTGTATTTGGCTAAATTAGCATTAGCGTTCTTTGCTGTTTCGTTCCGCTTATTTCAATGGTTTTTTTTTATTTCGTTCATTCCGAAAGGGCGTTTCAATCACAGTGCGGGTTGTGCATCTGTTTTTTTGAATGGTTATATTCGATGTTCTTAAAACATAATCTGACGTTTAAATATTCTCTCGCTTTCCGTTGCGGGTTTTTAGCTTCATAATAACAGAAAGTTGCAACTTTTGAGAGAAACAAAAAAAGGGCAACAATATAAAACAATAATCTTTATTCCATATATTCAGATAAAATAATGAATTTCCGTCATATAACGATTTCGTTCGACGATTAACAAATATGCATTTGACCGTTTCATCTATGGAAATGCATTATGATTATAATTTACTGCTTGATTTGAAATTACTTGAGATATCTTCATATATGTTGAGTAAATTATACAGTGTAATGTATTAATCCTGACTTCGGTGAAGACCCCGACCGATCAGACAACCTCTGAAAAAGACACGATGTACTGAGTATGGCTTTTGTTTTACATAGTATTCAGCTTTGGTATTAACAGGCATGCAAATGACACTTTATGAGCTACGAAGATGTTGAATTGTTTAACGTGTTGATGTTCCTTTATTATATTTATTCAAGTATAAAAATAATTTTCTGAATAAACAATACTTAGAGTAAAAGAACCGTTTTGCTCAGAGCTTCACGAGTAGTTACTGTAACACGCATTTAAAAAATGCATTTCTGAATATATAGATAGTTCCACATTTATTGTTTTGTTATATTCTATTTCATCCGTCCATAATTTGAATACCAATACATATGTAAACATGATTTTAATTTTCATGTCTTTGAAACTATATTAAATTAAAAGTTCATTTCACATCATCGTTCAGAATGTCAGACTTTGAACAACTGGGCCGAAGTGTTTATAATTTTTTTTACAAATTTCGACATTGATAACCCAAACTCGAGATGTAAGTTTTGGTGAGAAAATATTACTAAACTTACCATAACGTGAAAAACTTGAGCTATGTAGTAATGACGTTTGAGACTGATATGGACAATGAAAGTAACATTTACACGAACAACTCCACCTTTTTATTACGGGATTTTACTTATATTTACACTTATCGTGTAATGCGTGTCATTGTTTCTATCTATCTTTTGATAATGTCATGTTATTTATTTTTATAGCATGATATAACGAGATTTTTGTATGCGAATATATCTTAATTTTCTAGACATCTTGTAATTAAACTCGAAGTTTGCTTATTGCTTTATCATATTTAAACATATCGCTTCATCATCTACATGAAGCCGTTATGGCTGTGAATGCCAAACCAACACGATGATTCGCAAACTTATATTTCGTTTGGCTTACTTTGTGTGTAATGTAATCTTCAATAATCAATTTAGTTTGTTTTGCTTCACTAACACATTTTATCTACGTAATATATACTTTCATTGCGTAATATATATCCAAGTTTATAGTAGCTAGAATAACATCAACGTATGTCATTTTCTATATTGCCTTTCTTAGAAATTTCCCTTTTTCATATTTTGATCATATAGTATCATTTGCTTTGTGTTTATGTAAACTCTAATCTTGTGAATATATTGAATTATGAATGCTTTCAAGTGAAATAAAATAAGTTACCTGATAGTAATCAATTATTAATACCTGCAGTTGTTTTAAAAATCGAATCGTAAGACACAATTGGATGTCATTGACTAAATTAAAAAGCTTATATTTACGAAAACCGAATATGTAGTACGATTACGATTGACATTTAATGTAATATTCGTAAAAAATGATAACAATAATACACGGAATGTAACGCATGGATGAAACATTTTCTTTCACGAATGCAATATTTTATGTTTTCATAATTTTACAATTAATCGGACTACTCTAATATGTTAACTTGCTTACCTTACACAGGCAGTCGAGTCTTGGTGTCTTTTCGGTCCAGCAAACAATCTTTGAGGGCATCAGAGTCGACGCTTCCCAGCGTCACCGGAATATCCGTACCAAAAGTCATTTTTAAACGGCTACGTGATCCTGTTGAAGAAATGTCATTGGTTAATCAGCCTCCACCCACTCCTATTGGTGGACTATCAGTTGTAGAAAGCGAGAGAGTACGAAAAGCATCTATATCCGTTAGGGACTCATCAACAACTGGTAGAATGGAAGATTCGAATGGACCAGTGATAAAGAAACATATAAATGTGGAACTTATCGACCAATCTTTAGAATTACAAACAGAAGATGTTGGTGTGGAGGAACGTCAAGAAGAAAATAAAAATATTGAACAAAGTGTGCATACTGATTCTAAGATCAATCTCACGGAGGAAAAAAGCGAAAATAAGGTTTTAGATATCGATAATAGTGATGGAAATGGTCTCAAGGTTTTCATGACAGAAAATAATGATACAAATAAAATCAGCGACAACAACGACAGTCTGCAAAGGACAGAATCGACTGTTGATCCAGAAGTTGTTTCTTCTACTGACAATGTTGGAGTTGAAGTAAGAAAACTCAAAGGTGACGAATTTGAAAGAGACACTAATGTGCAAGAAATCTCAAGTGGCGGCGTGAATGATGGAGAGAAAACAGTTAGCAGCCAGGGTGAACCGGACGTAGAATAATAAAAGTGATGTGTTAAGTTTTAGTAGTTTATAAAAAAAGTATATATTTTTTATAATTTATTTTCCTTAAGTGAGTCTCTACCGACAATGTGACAAAATGCTTACTTCTGGTATATGTATTTTTTCGAACGGGACAATCACCATTGTTGTACAATAGTTTAGTAAATGGAGTAAATGCAATTGTACACTGAAGTAAAAAAAACACCTCCAACTATGATTATTACATTTATTTAAGGGAAAGGTTTACTAATTTCATATCATTTCATATATTAAGTACTAATTCAATAATGCCTGATTATATGTTACACAACATAATTATATAGGGTGTGCCAGTTTTTGATATGTAATTTGTCATGCAACTGAGTCTACATGTTTAAAAGTGAAAACCAGATATATGGTCCAAAGAGTTAGAAATGCGAAAAAGAATATCCTGTAAACTCTCTTAATGCTGCGATTGTTTAGTAAATCGTATTATTTTGAATGTTACGTTGATATGGAGTTTGTGTCTAACAAAATGACGTCAGTACTGTTTTCCTCTTTGTTCATAATTATGTATTAGAGAAAAACGTTGTAAAATCCATGCGTCAGTGTCTCAGTATCATGTTCTAATTAAATAGTTGATGAAACAGTTTACGAAATTACCTGTTTTCGTTTTTTGCCTCGCACTTAATTAAGGGTAACTTCCTCTAAGTTTCGTATTATGAACGCATTGATTAGAAATTTTAAGAAAATACATATATAGATAAAATCTAAAAACTATTATTCAAACTCAAAATTGGGAAAACTAGTGCAAAGAATCTATAATGGAAATATGAATACAGAGACTACACGCAATAATCTCTTTGTAAAAGTGATATCTTCACATGTGAATATAAACATTTCGTATAGATTCACAGTAGTGAAGAAAACGTGCTCATCTAGTGGATGATTTGATGTTTCACCTTTTAAATGTTAATACTACGGATAACGTAAGGGTTCATTATTATTTTGTTGTAAATCGTATGTGGCCTCCATTTCCCAGAAGGCTTTCAGGCATGGAGAAGCACTGGAAGTGGAAAAAGTGTTAACTGACCAAACCCAGCGGCTTTCTGAGTTTGAAAACAGAGGATAAATTGTGTTTCTGTCAAAATATTATCCATCTCACACACTAAAAAATCGTTTTATTACAAACACTTCATATATTAAAAACACGTATATCTTCTGTTAGGTTTTTCTTCATCAATTGCGTTTTATACCTTTTAAACTCTACTTTGTTAAAAGACTTCACTTTATGTTATCGTCAAAGTAATATGATGCGAAAGACAGTTTTTATCAAACATCAACAATGAAACTAGAATTGAGAACTGATCATTATCGTTTTTGTTGTCCTGGCTGGAAAAGCGAAGTGAGTGTTTATGTAGGAGGGAACCGGACCACCCAGTGAAAACCAACGTGGGCGTGAACGTGACCCGAATTCCTTTTCACGTCCGATCGGAGAATTGAGCCTCCTTATTAACGTGATTTTCTATATTAAACAGAAAAGTGTAGAGACAAAAACAAAATCAGACACTTGATGTTCACACAGAAATACAAGAGGGAGACACACAACAAACAACAACACGGACGCCACGAATTAAAGGTTAAACTAATAAAACGAAATGGTTAACATTCTCTACACATCGCATGACATCTGCTGAGTAAACCTGTAACATAATATAGTAGCTAAAGATATGACATTTGGGGAATGTTAAGATCTCCCCGATAATTATCTGTCGCTCACAGAATAATAACTTAATCGTTGACTTGTGATATAGTCGAATTATAATAAACTTACCCCGCGTACGAGTGACTTAAAAACCGTCTATGTTACCCGTTTTGAGATCTCATAAATGTATTGCCGTCTTGGTGTCGCTACACAAAACCAATCAGACCTGTACTTGTTTACCCCTGATAAGCAATCTCTGAACACAAATCTTCTTGCAATTGTGATGGCATTGCGTTACATTACGTAACATTACGTAACAAAGGTCACATTAAAGCGCGAATATAATGGTAAATAGTGCCTCATATCAGTAAAACAAAGGTATACAATAGCAAAGGAATTTTGCATTGATAACATTGGAAAGACAGAAAGAGAAAACGACCGGATGTACAGGAAATATAAGCATCTTGTCTTACATCGAAAATACTCCTCATTTAAATCTAGGTCAAATCTTAATTAATCTCAAACTGATAACCGGGTTAAAAACCACTAAAGGAGAAGGCACACTCATGAGCAAAGACAAAAATATCAATCAAGATAATGAAATATCCTCTTTTTATCATTTTTAAAAAACGTTTTCTCAATAACGTATTACAGACCATTTACTGATAATTGCAGCTGATTGTTTTTGTAGATTAATCGTGATATGAGAACTTTATCTTTAAGATGACCAAATCGGAAAAAATATTAAGAACACGAACACATACGAACACAGCTGAAACCAAAATATTATTGCTAAATTGTAAATTAACGTCATTCAGCGTCAAATCAATTGTTCTATATTTGATTGTGTAATAAACAAAGTAGTTGAGGCAGAAAATCAGAATTATTCTCTAAACCAACCAGGTGGAACAGAAAAACTCATCAATCGATTACCAAATTAATAGGTAAAACATGCATTGTGGTTTACTTTACGTTTGGAGGTTTGTGTCGTCAGCTGTGCAAGTGACATCAAGACTTGCCACAAAACTTATAACATTAACAAGTCCATGTGTCTGGCGGCCAAGTCTGCAGTCATCTAGCATCGCCATAGACGTCTGACAGTTTAAAAGCGTAACGGTGTAGCTTTAAGATCCTTTTATATCTACAAGATTTTAAAAGCGCAAAGTTTGTCCATAAAAAAGTGGTAGTTTCCCAATGTTAAACACCTTCATTGATAATGCCATGCGTTAAGGAAGGGTAGGTGTCTTCTGCTTCATTGGTTACTCCCGCCATGCAAATCTGGATTGTATACAAGTCCTCATATGGAGAACTCGCGTAGTAACAACGACATCACAAGGCACTATAATGAGTATGATACAAATCATTGACCTTTGTTTGAATAAAAGGATATGATAGTTTTATGGAGATTCAATATGTATTGGGGGTTGCAGGGTAAAGTTGGGTAGACGCACTATCAAATGAGACATTTTCGCATATTTCTAACTGTTGATCATATTATGTTGTCGTCACAAAAGTACAGATTCACTAAATATGAGACTGTTACATAACCACAATGAACTCCCTACACTTAGACAGTCCCTTGTCGGTATCACGTTCGCGTACTGCTGACTCACCTTGACACGGTAGTCCTATCCCTGATACACAATCCAGTTTACTCATGGGGATTCCCAACATTAATGAAAAGATGATGTCACTATCTTAACACGTGACTCGGGTTTGGTTGCGGACGACGGAAACTTTTCATTCTGGCAATCTGTTTCAATCATTTCTATTCTATTCCATTAACCGTGCTTCACACATGTATTTTGTTTTCGATGTAATCGAATATTTGATTTACCTTAGGGTACATTATTTGTCTAGCGGTGGGTTTAACGACGTTATTAACTTCTCGGTTACTTTAGAGTATACTTTTTACCACATGGCTATATCGCCATGTTCATTGCATTCGGAGAATGTGCCGCTGACTGGGTAATTTAAAGACATTATGATTACTTTAGAGTGCGTTACGTACCTCACATGGTTATTTAGATTTACATTACAGCCCTCTTTGCAGTATGTGCTCACGCTGACATGATAATTTAACGCCGTAATTCTTCTTACGGCCTATATTAGAGTATGTGATGAAAGTGACGGTGCGTTTTAACTACGTCATTAACCTGATAGGTCACGTAACCGTATCTCATTTAAAACAATAATGATAAACTATTCATTCTTTTGTTAACCTAAAGCTACAACTAAACCACCTTCACCAAAATAACACTAATGCTATATTATATAAAGGTTTTAATACAGTAAACATGGGTAAACAAAAATATAGATGTTGTATCCCAAATTGCTTTTGTGAAGTTTAAAAAAGAAATTTAATTCCTCAGCAATGGATTTCCATGTGTATATAATATTATATATAGATCATTCTTACCGGGGTATGCATATGTACATAAAGAGTTAAAACTGATGGAGACTGCCGTGGTTGTGGGACCCTGACAAATTCCTTTGTATCCACTGTCGTTATTACTTCTTTGCCAATATAGATGGATAGATATATGCACTTTATTGCTCATATATAAACAGACCCATCCGCTTCTGTTCGACACAAACACAACACTCTATGTTGTGTTATCAAACGTTAATGTATTATCACGAAAGGAGAAGAGAGACATTCAATTTTTAAACACGTTGTCATGTCACTTTGTCCTCCCGCAGGAGGCCTTTCTAGCTCCATGTACCCCGCTGTGTATATTTGTAACTTTATAAGGGATATAAAAGGCACATTTTGCTTCTTTTCTGTATTTCAACATATGATTATAATTCTGTCCTAAATATGAAAAACGTTTATATTGTGACATAATTGCATACTGTGATGAAATGGAAAACCAGTTATTGTGATTAAATTCAAGATATGTTCTTGTTTTGGTAAAGGATTAAGTGTAAATACTGATGTAAATGCGGTCTTAATACATACGAGTAGGATTCTAAAGACATGCAACAACAACACTCGTACATTTTGTTTAATAAATTATTACTGCCATACATTGAGTGACCTTGACACAATGTGTATCTAGTGACCTTGAAACTATGTGTATCTAAATATACCAATCAACCAGGAAGTAAAACGTGACAGATAGACGAACAACGGCAATGAACGGTGGAGTTAACAGATCTCAAACTGATTCGCTTCTCGTAAACAATTAAAATAAATGAAATAATTGTACAAACGAAAGTTTTCAATTCCTTCCTGTAAAAGGTACTAAGTCGGGGATGACAAAGTAGAGGAGGAGCCTGTAATGCTAATTAGTTACCTGTTATAGTGTATACAGTGGTACATGTAGGATATTACTGCAATCACATAACAAATTGCTGTGCCTGTTCAGTACGAAAGTGATAAGAGAAGTGGTTAACCGACACTTGATCAAACACGTATCAATTGTTGACATGGCTAATGGATGCAGTCGCCATTCATCCTAATTGAAGATAACATATACTTTCCAGTACCATTATAAACAAATAGCTTCTTTGCAGTGACCTAATTTCAACAAGAAGTGAATTTGTAAATAGGAAAATCAACCAGGCTTTTTATTATTAGTTCGATGGAGGGTAACACAATGGTTTAACTGAATATCAGGAGGCTATTCGCAGAAATGCAATAAGTCGTTATCGCTTTTATATTGTCATATTATTCACCAAAATATACAGTCTTTAAACAAAAGTCAGGACAATAAGGGGACACTATGTGACCCAGGCCCCTGAAATGTGAAGTCTGATAATTTCTAAAAAAAACATTAGGCTGAATATAAGGCCCCATCTCGTGACATCGCAAGTCCGGTACAGATATTTCAAGATGTTCCGCTTACAATTATATTATTATAATCGATTTCTGCTGAATTGCAAACAAAGCGTATATGTTACTTTCAAATCTGAATTTATAAACTGATGATTGTCAATGCATGAGGAAAGCCTACCATAGTTTA